AGCCATGGCCAATATTTCGAGCAATGTAACCTTGCCTTTTCTCCTATCTGATGCATACCTGTGTTTTCTCCAGGTGTCCCTCTTTCCCATGTTTTGATGTTAACATGTATGCAATAGGACATGTGCAATTCGGTTCGTACTGAATCAACATTCAGACAAATTTTCCGAAATTTGGACACATCCAAATTTCCGAGTCCCAATACATCCGAATGTGCCTGAATCCGAATTCCCATTTCTGAATTTCAGATCCCGTCCGAATTTAGTTCAAAAACTAAACTGAATCGGACATGGGACTTTTCTGGCCAATCAGATGTGTTTTTCAGTGTAATGCATTCGAATGTGTCTGAATACGAATTTATGTTTCAGCAAATTGGAGCCATCTGATTGGCCAGAAAAGTCACATGCCGTAACAAACATTCGTGTTCAGTATATACATATAATATTAAAGCTGAGGCTCCTAGACCATTATCGTTGGGTAATAAAAGTAAAAGATCACAAACAAAGCCTGTATGGCTGGATAAAAATGTAAAGCATCACATAAAGGAAAAGCAAATGGCATTTATAAAATATAAGATCGAGGGGACGGCATTGGCGTTCCATAACTACAAAGAATGTAATAAAAGATGCAAACTAGTGTAGGAAAGTCACCGGTCTTTAAACAGTAATGGCAATAAATGCAGCTTTATTGCATCCAACGAAAAAGTAACACAAATAAAAAAGGCCTACTCCACCTTAGGAGGCTAACTAAACAGTAGTGTCCCTCACTACGTCCTACTGGAGCGGCTATTCCAGCTTCCAGTATAAATGGACAAAAACCACAGTCCAATACAAACAATTGTTCTGACAGACCTTATTCCCCAGATATGCAGACACTCTCCAGTCTGTGTCCATCCAGTGCAGCCTGGATCTCACTCTGAGCTCTCACTCCCTCTCAGTCACTATCAGGTGCAGGCTAATTAATAGAGAGAGAGAAAGAGAGGAGGTTTACCTGTTGGGCCAGGCTTAACCCTTTCCTAGCCAGGGAAAGCTGCCCTTTTCAACCTCTCACTGACATACACAGAGTCGTGTACCCTGTCACACTATTAATATGGGCAGCTAAAATAGAGTGCGACAAGCACATTGCCACAGATAGTAAAAAAAAAAAAAAAATTTTACCAATACATAAACAGTAAATAGGTGAGAAAGGAGCAGATAGGCCCAATAAAGGACGAAAACAGGAAGTTAGCCACAAATGACAAGGAGAGGGCCAAAGTGCTGAACACTTTTTTCTCTTCAGTATACACTCAGGAGGGAAACGGGTTTGACGTCCATGATAAAACACGTAGTTCATCACAAAATATAGCCAATTGGTTGACGGAACCCGGGATACAACAAAGACTTAGTCTACTTAATGCAAATAAAGCATTGGGACCAGACAACCTGCACCCCAAGATACTCAAGGAACTAAGCGCGGTTATAACTAGACCAATATTCCTCATTTTTAAGGACTCTCTAATGACTGGTAGAGTTCCGAGTGACTGGCGGAGGGCTACGGTAGTTCCAATATTCAAAAAGGGGGCAAGATGCCAACCGGGGAACTACAGACCAGTTAGTCTTACATCGGTGGTATGTAAACTGCTAGAAGGAATGATTAAGCACTATTTGGTAGAATTTGTTCAGGATAATGGCATGGTTAGTGATAATCAGCATGGGTTTAGGAAAGACCGTTCCTGTCAGACTAACCTAATTACTTTTTACGAGGGGGTAAGTAGAAATCTGGATGGAGGGAGGTCTGTGGATGTGGTATATCTGGATTTCTCAAAGGCTTTTTATACGGTACCACACAAACGCTTACTATACAAGCTGAGAGCTATGGGCATAGATAGAAGGGTGTGTACATGGATAGAGAACTGGCTAAAGGAACGGGTACAGAGAGTATCAATAAATGGCGCCCTTTCAGACTGGGCTAGTGTCATTAGCGGTGTGCCTTAGGGTTCTGTGCTGGGACCCATGCTATTCAACCTGTTTATTAACGACATCGGGGACGGAGTACACAGCGATATCTCAGTGTTTGCTGACACTTGGGAGGGTAATAGAAACGGACATTACAGGAGGACCTGGATAAAATAGGGGAGTGGGCAACTATGTGGCAGATGAGGTTTAATGTCGATAAATGCAAAGTTATGCACTTTGGGATCAAAAATAAGCAAATGGGCTATACCATCATGGGTATGCCTCTAGGGAAGTCGGAAATGGAGAAAGATTTGGGGGTCATTGTAGACCATAAACTGAATAATAGATTACAGTGCCAGGTTGCTGTAAGCAAAGCTAGTAGAATCCTGTCCTGCATCAAGAAGGGAATGTTTTGCAGAGACAAGTCTATAATTTTGCCACTTTACACATCACTGGTTCGGCCTCACCTGGAGTATGCGGTGCAGTTTTGGGCACCGGTACACAGAGGGGATGTCCTTGAACTGGAGAAAGTCCAGCGAAGGGCGACCAAACTCATCAAAGGGATGGAGGACCAGAGCTATGAGACACGGCTACTAAATTTTAATATGTTCACGCTGAAAGTAAGGAGATTAAGGGGGGATATGATTTTCATAAAACCCATGATTTATTATAAAAGTATAAACTTTATTATGATACAAGAACATCAATTTTCTGCACCAAATAACCTTTCTTCAATAATCAACAAACAGATTTTCACCTATTATATTCTCGGATGTATCACTTGCAAGAAAAACTGGTTACGGGTACATCTCAGAGTAGATCTGTGTGCCGCCCCAATGGGGCATAGAATATGTTATAGAAGTTAATATAGATAGAAGTTTTACATTGTGCCGCCCCAATGGGGCATAGAATATGTTATAGAAATTAATATAGATAGAAGTTTTACATAGTGTGTTTTGCCTAACTATTTTCTCATAGCTAAATCCATGTGTTATCCTATGCTGCATCTAGTGGCCTTTTGTTGTAACAAACATGTTTTCTGTAATTATTCCTCATGTGACGATGTATTTCCCCCTAGTGTACGCCCCTTCCTTCTTCCTGTGTGCAGTACTTCCTGTGTCATGGCCACAGTTGAAAGCCACATGTAACAAGGACACACAGGTAATCTGCACAGTACGGAGGAAAGGCATAATTTTCTGACCGCACAATACTATAACCGTTCAACTGCTGTTCCTATCATCTGCTGTAATCTTGATGTTAAGAATAAACACCTCTTTTGAATGAATCGGTATTGACGAGTTCAGCTATCTGACGAGGATTGTCCGCAGTGAGTATATCTGCTTATACAGGCCAGGCATAGAGGTCTCAGCAAGGGATATATTGCTATCACAACGATCGGAGTCAGAATAATCTGTAACATTCATCTCTTTGATCCAACATCATCACCTAGTAGGGGCATAATTACCGATAGGAACCAGGTGTTGAATTAGGAGTATTGCCTCCTCTGAACCATAAAGATATATTTTTTGCCGTAGATTGTGTGGGGTCCATAGGATGAATGAATGAATGTATGAGTGCTATGAACAGCGTTGTTCTTTTACGAAACTATTGAGAAGCGGTGTTATTTGGTGCGGAAAATTGATGTTCTTGTATCATAATAAAGTTTATACTTTTATAAGAAATCACTGGTCTCGGTCTATTCAGTAACCACTTTTCACAGTGCTCCCTACTTGGAACACTGTTACCCCTTTTTTGTGCTTTTACTAATTTTGATTACATGACCTTGATGACCAGCCCCAACTATATATAAAGGGATATACTTAGTATATCGGAGCTCCAGGGAATATACATTTTTTCGGGATATGATTTTCATGTACAAGATGTTCTATAGTCATAGCAACATTAGCAACAAACTGTTTAAGATGAATTCCGTAACAAAGACTAGAGGCCACCACCTAAAACTGGTAGAAAAAAAATTCAAACACAAGAGGCGGAGCGGGAATCTTCTCAGTTCGAGCGGTTAGGGTCTGGAACTCGTTGCCACATGCAGTGATTTCAGCAAATAGTGTGGAATCATTCAAGAAGCTTTTGGACGATTTCCTGAGAGACCATAATATACGAGGGTACATGTACTCTTAAGAATGAGGTGACTCAAGGACCTATACACACACACACACACACACACACACACAATAGTTTGGACCTGATGGACATATGTCTTTATGCAACCTCAAATACTATGTAACTATGTAACTAGACGCAAATGACATTCGGGTCTGGGAGCCTCAGCTTTAGTAATATACAGGTGAAACTCGAATAATTAGAATGTCGTGCAAAAGTAATGGCAGTAAGTGCTGCAAAAGGGGCCCAAACCAAGTACTGAGTACATATGCATGCTTGTACTTTTCAGAGGTCCGATATTGTTCTATGTACAATCCTTGTTTTATTGATTGCATGTAATAATCTACTTTTTTGAGGTTGTGGATTTGGGGTTCTTGGGGTTTTCATGAGCTGTAAGCCATAATCATCACAATTATGACAAATCACGGCTTGAACTATCTTGCTTTGCATGTAATGAGTCTATCTCATATATTAGTTTCACCTTTTAAGTTGCATTAGTGAAATAAATGAACTTTGCACCATATTCTAATTATTTGAGTTTCACCTGTATGTCTATGGCTCACAAACCCGAATGGCATTCGGGAGCTAACGAAAGCAAATCAGATCCCGAATGCCATTTGGGTCTGGGAGCCATATACATATATTACTAAAGATGAGGCTCCCAGACCCGAATGGCATTCAAAAGCTCCCCAATGCAATTCGAAAATTTGGATCCCGAATGACCCATTGGGGGTAGATAGCTTGAGGCACATAAGTTCCTTATATTGCTGTGATTATAGAATTTGCATAGGTCACATCAAAACACTGATCATTATTGGGTGGTCATCCTCATTCATACACGCTGCACCAAAATGGCAGATGGAAGTCAAAATGTGAGGTAAAACCAGTGGCAGGAAATGTCTGGAGCCTAGCCTCAGGCAGCACTCACAGGCACCCTCTGTCCTGTGATGGCCAAAGAGTATGTCATTTTCAGGTCAGATACTTTCAACCTCAGAGGTGAAGTGTCTAGAAGCGACTACTGGGTGTCCAAGAGGGACCAGTGGCAGGAGCTTGCAGAACATGTGCCAGAGGTGCTTGCCTACCCGGCTCTAAGTGTCTTATCAGAAAGAGTTTTCAGCGCATTTGAAGGGGTGAATGACAGACACATCACAGGCAATGTGGACCACCTGACTTTTATCAAAATGAACCCGGCTCAGCACACTGCTGAGTCTTTGTCTATGGAATATCATATATTTACAAAGTAAGAGCACACACTCTGCACTCTAGGTGCTGGTGCTTCCACTGCTGCCTCCGCATTCCTCTTACTACAGTTTATCTGTAATCATTACGAATAATAAATGAATCGTGCTGGGCTGGTCACTAATTCCAGTGCCAACCCATCCTCTCTTCCACCCCCCATGTGCCATGCAATACAAATGGGACACCATGTTGTACTTTTTACCCCTCAACCGCAGAGGACTGAAGCTTTACATTTTACATTTTGGTTACCATGAGAGATGCCGACTGTGCAGCCTATTTCTGCTTTTAGCTTGCGATCCTTCTTCGAAGTACTAAGAAAACAATCTTTGTGCCCCACAATGTTGAAACAGGGGTTTTTAGCGAGCAGACCAATGCATGGCTAATGTTCCTAAATGTACACCAGTTAAGGCTCATACTGAAAGAGCAAGGTCTTTTAATTTGACTGGCATTTCTGTAAAAATAAATGTTGACATAATGAGCAAAGTATGGGCTGCCAACGTTCCTTGTTGGAAGTCCCAGAAATGACCCTCAGTGATCATGTAACATTGTATACCACCATAGGGGACCTCACAAAGCTGTAAATTGAAGGATTTGTGTCTTTCACATGCTGTCCCCAAAGCAGTATAAAATGGCTCCTCCCTACCGCTGTACACGTTTCCCCCTTTTTTTAAATAGCAGCAAGAATTTGTAAGAGATGCGGCTTAATCTCGGGCTTTGTGAGGGTTTTTTTTTTACTCAGATCAGTAAAAATTTAGAATTCCCTTCTGCACTCAGTAGTATCAGTTGAACACTTGGATAGCTTCAAAAAACGCTTAGATTATTTTCTCTGTTCACAGAATATACAGGGATATGGGAGTTAGCAATATGTGTATACGCTCACACATACACAAACACACATACTGTATAGGTTGAACTGGAGGACCTGTGTCTTTATTCAACCTTACCAGCTATATACCATGTTCCCCTGACATGTGTTGGCCTTCCCATGATATTTTCTGCGTTTGGTTGCTGTTGTTCCCCACCAAAGGCTCGAACAACCCAACAGAAATATTTTACCGTTGACTTTAATGGGGTTCAGATTCCATGCCTTTGGAATACCGAAAAATGTGGCCTGTTTCGTCAAACTGTCCGCAAATAGAGCAGAGCCATATTTGAGCAACACTATTCATAATGACATACCAGATGTGGGAGTAACTTCCATTTTTCATCTTTTTTTTCTTTTCATTTCCTCATAGACCTGTACCTCGCTACTACAGATATCTCCTGGCTTTTGTGTTTGCTATTGATGAGGTCAACAGTAACGCTGATATTTTACCTAATGTGACGTTGGGATACCATGCAACTGACTCCTGTAGACATGTGGTTAAAGCCATGGACAGTCTCTTCTGTATTTTATCTGGACAGCGATATGGAGTTCCCAACTACTCCTGCCAGAATCATGACAATCTAGCTGGCGTTATTGGAGATCAATCTTCGGACACATCTTTGCACATAGCTCAATTGTTAAATATTTATGGTTATGCCCAGGTAAGAATAGAAGAACCCTTATGTCTAAAAAGAAGTTTACTTGTATTTGGGATCTTTGTGGTCTGCTTTTATAGTGACACTAAACTGAGGATATCAATCTTACAAATGCATTCAAGTACCTTAAAAGAGAACTATGGAGTAAGAGTTTTTCCACCTAGTTCTTTTAAGGGTCACAGGAGGGCATATACTAGCGTCCTCCCATGACCCACAGCTCAGTATATAGTGAGCTACAGCTAGCGGTATACTGAGACTGCCGCAGGCTGGACGGATCCCGACATTACTGTCGAGATCCACCCAGCTGCGTGAGTGACAGCTGGCTCTGCCTATCTAGAGGCAGAGCCAGCTGTACCCGTCCCCTCCCCCGTCTGTTCTGCCAGTCAGCGCTGGAGGATTGGTATGCGCTCACTTCCCAATCTATTGAGCCGACGTGTGACAGTTTCATTGTCACACGTCGGCTCTAACTATGAGGATGAGTGATTTTCACTCACCTCATAGTGCTCCATTTAACTATTAACCTTTTTACTGCCAAGGCCTTTTTTTTTTTTCTCCATTTTTTCATCACAAGTATATGTCCACATTTTACGCCTGAAAATTGCTTCAAACCCCCAAGCATTACATATTTTCTGAAAGCCAAGACCCTGTATAGCCTTATGTTGCATGATATTAGCGCAACTCTTTATCAAACCCAACATTTTAGTGAAAAATGCACTTAAGTTGAATTTAGTGCCCAAAAACACAATAAAATACCCATTTTGTTTTGTAAATTATAAAATATAAGGTTACAGCAAGTAAATAGATACCCAATATGCCCAGGTAAAAAATAGTGTGCGTCCGTCAAACGGCGACAAAATCCAGTACCCCAATAACTTTATAGATGATGCTATAAAAGCCCCTACATCGAGTATCAGTATCGAGTATATTTACTGGTATTTGTTTTTACAGTAATCGCAGATGCCGAGTACTGATATCGATGTCGTGTGCCCCGATTATCAGAAAGTCGCCCTGCTTCCTGATTGGTCAGGAAGCCAGGCTGCCTAGCAACTAGTGAAGCTGGCTTCTTAGCCAATCAGCAATCTGGGCGGCACATCATGACCCGCCTCTCGGCTTCCTGTTTGGCTAGGAAACTGGCTTCACTTGTTGCTAGGTAGCCTGGCTTCCCAACCAATAAGGAAGCCGGGCGGCATGTAATGACCTGCCTCCTGATAGGCTAGGAAGCCGGCTTTACTTGTTCCTAGGCAGCCTGGCTTCCTGACCAATCAGGAAGCCGGGAGATGGGTCATTACGTGCTGCCTGGCTTCCTGATTGGTTAGAAAGCCAGGCTATCTAGCAACAAGTGAAGCCGACTTCCTAGCCAATCATGGAGGCGGGTCATGACCCACTGCCCGACTTCCTGATTGGAAAGGAAGGAGGTAAGTATCGGAGCATTTGGACTAGTACGAGTACGCGGCCAAATATTCTGTATCAGCGCCGATCCCAGTTATTGGCCAGGAAGCCGACTGCATGCTGAATGGCCGGCGAAGCCGGCTTCCTGGCTAATCAAGTGAGTCATTATCTGCTGCCCGGTCTTCCTGATTGGCCAGGAAGCCAGCTCCATGTTCCCTCACAGCATTCCTGGTCAAATCTCCCTCTGACTGGATGTTCTGTATCGGGGGTAAGTATCGGAGCATTTGGGATTGTACGAGTATACTAGTACCTGTATCGGTGCATTCTTACCAAATACCATGAATCTCAATGTTTTGTTGTGCTTACAAACTCATTGGGGGGAATTTATCAAAACTGGAGCAGACATTCACTGCAACCAATCAGCTTCTTTGTCTAATTTTCAAATATTACCTGAGCAAACTGAAGAGAGATGCTGATTGGTTGCCCTGGGCAACTGCTCCAGATTCTGACTTCTCCAGTTTTGATAAATTCCCCCCATTGAGTATAAAGGCATCTCAGATAGAGTGTCGATAAATGGCTCCTTTTCAGATTGGTCTAGGGTCATGAGTGGCGGGCCTCAGGGTTCTGTGCTAGGCCCCATACTATTCAACCTCTTTATTAACAATATCAGGGAGGGCGTGAATAGCCATGTGTCCGTGCTTGCTGATGATACCAAAATCGGGAGGGTAATCGACACGGACTTAGACATTATAACATTACAGGAGGACCTGTATAAAATGGGGGAGTGGGCAACTACTTGGCAGATGAGGTTTAATGTTGATAAATGTAAAGTAATGCACTTTGGGGTTAAATATAGGCAAGAGGAATACACATTAATGGGAACTCCACTAGGGAAGTCAGAAATGGAAAAAGATTTAGGGTCATTGTAGACCACAGATTGAACAATAGCAAGCAATGCCAGGCTGCTGCAAACAAAGCAAGCAGAGTACTGTCTTGTATTAACCCCTTCATGACTGAGGCCCTTTTTTCATTTTTTGCACCCATGTTATATTCCACATTTTAGGCCTGAAAATGACTTAAAACCCCCCAACATTATATATTTTCTGAATGCCAAGACCCTATAGAATAAAATGGTGGTAGTTGCAAATTTTTATGTTGCGCAATATTAGCGCAACTCCTTATTAAACCCCAACATTTAGTGAAAAATGTAATTTAATGCCCCAAAACACAACAAAATACCAATTTTTTAAATGACATATAAAAGATGAGGTCACAACGAGTAAAACGATACCCAACATGCATAGGCTACAAATTGCGTGCGTCTGTGAAACGGCGAACAACTGCAGTACCCCAAAAAGTCAATAGAAGACGCTTTAAAAGCCCCCACAGGTCATCAATTTAGAGATACCCCAAAATACTGGCCCTAGAATTATTGCTCACACGAAGGGGTTAAAAAGGGAATGTACTGTAGAGACAAAGCGATCATTTTGCCATTGTATAGATCGCTGGTTCGGCCTCATCTGGAGTATGCGGTCCAGTTTTGGTCACCAATACACAGAAAGATTGTCCTTGAGCTGGAAAGAGTCCAGAGAAGGGCAACTAAACTAATTAAGGGGCTATGAGACAAGGTTACTAAATTTTAACATGTTCACCCCTGTACCCTATACAAAAGTTTTGTCCAAAAAAGATCACATGGCAGTGTTTAAGCCAATCGCCGGTATTTCAGATTTTAATGCCTGTCTGACAGGCACACCGCTGAAAGTAATGGAACCAGATCATTGGCATTATCAGTTGAAAAATTATTATTCTATGTCCAATTATCTGATGCCAATGATCTGGTTCCATTACTATGTGATCTTTTTTGGACAAAACTTTTGTGATTGGTCACCTCTTAATTTAAAAGAGCAGGATATAGGAGAGTTCCTTTAGGTCCTGATGAAGGGGGCGTGCCCCTGAAACGCGTAGACCTTTCGAGCTCACGGGGTCAGAGGACGCTGATGTGTTGTATCCCTTCAGACTCCCGCTGCTAGAGATTTTACCTTTCATCAACTTTTACATGCTTTTAACCACCGACCTTTTTGTGAGTACAATTTCAGTTGCGTGTTGTACAAATACATTTTTCGTTACTATATAACTATGTAAGATATAAAACAATGACATCCATAGGTCTTATATACATGCCCCAACCTGGGTTTCATTTTTTCGACTTGTAAGAGATAGAGAAACCTGCTGTTGTGAATGCTGGGAGACCTCTTTGGGCTGCGAGTTCTGTTGGGAAAAAAAATCTAATTTTTCTCCTGTATTTTTTGGACTATAGCAAGAAAAAATGTTTGTACTAAGCACAACATCATGGTGACACCTTAGAATTTTCTGCAATCGGGATTTGGAATCCAGTGTATGACAGGAGGTCTAAGCTGGGCACAGGGTCCTTTTTAACAACTGTGGAAAAAGTGACAGTGGGCTGTCATGGCAGCTTTTGTTTAACACTGGATTGTTTGTGTATATGTACATGACAGATGGTAAGGCAGGGTGTTGATTTGCTTTAGCTTGCTAGCTAAGGACCAAGCATGTGTTGCCTTTCCACACATCCAGGCCTATATATAACTTAAATATCAATAACCTCTCCCTGTAAAACCACATAATATATATATATATATTATTATTTTTTTGTTAGATCAGCTATGGTGCAACAGATCCTCTTTTATCCAATAAGTTACTCTACCCATCCTTCTTCCAAACACTCCCCAGTGATAAGACCCAGTATCTGGCGATTGCCGAGCTGTTAAAACACTTTGGTTGGACGTGGATTGGTGTTATTACATCTGATGATGACGCTGGAGAGAAACAAAGTCAAGAGCTAACCAAACAGGCTGCTGAACATGGCATCTGTATTGAGTACATGATAAGTTTACCAGCTGGTCAGACCAGTAGGCGAATGGGTAACCTAAATAAGAAAAAACAGATCATTAATAACTCAACTTCTAGTGTTGTTGTACTTTGCGGCACTATTTCGTTGGTCCCAATACGTTTTCTTGAAATTCAAAGCAGCGTCGGTCATAAGAAGACATTAATTTTTTCAGTAGATCCAATTACCCAGTTTTCACCAAATGAACAAGAAAAATCTCCATTCCATGGAAGTCTGGTGTTTTCACCAATCACTAAAGCAATCCCACGTTTGAAGAGAGCATTAGAGTGGATGAGCTCAGCGAATAGTCCACGTAACACTTTACTGGAATTTATCATTGCAATTTACTTTAGATGCACATCTTCTGATTCAATACTTAACACGGCAGTTGAGTTCTATTATGGACATAAACTTCACACTTGTAACCGCAGTATACTTTTAGCTGAGCTCCCCGACTATATATACTACACTGAAAGTTTTGGAACAGCTTATCAAGTTTATCGATCTGTTTATGCCATGGCACATGCTCTGCATGCAATGCAATTATACACATCAAGGAATCTTAACTCATGCACAGGATGTTATAGATATATGCTCAAGGTAAAGTCATGTGTGGAGCTGGGCATTTGGCTGCAGATTAATAGTATTTTCAGGGATCTTATCTGGAAGCGGAAACAGGCACGGTTGAAGTTGGATACCTTGCAGAGAACCAAAGATCTAGGGGGCCTGGTTCTCCCCAATCCATGGCTATATTTTATAGCCTCTCAATTATAGCATACTACTACATGAGGATCAAAGTGACCATTGGGAGCCACATAAATGCCAGATGATCAGGATGGAGAAATACTGTTCGGAAGTGGTTTTGTACAGACAGGCATTTGACAGTTCTTTGGGCATGGTTGTCCATTTGGGATGTGGTTATGACACCTGGGGCTCAATTTTCAGTCAAGTTGTTTTCATTGAGATATCTAACTTATGGGCTTTCTAATGTTTCTGCTGCTTCTTCTTTCCTCTTGACCACTGTTACTTTTGTTCTTGCTGCTTTCCCTCAATCTACCTGTCTTGGTTTCTGCTTTAACTCCTGCAGACTTTGATTGGCCTTCCTGCTCTCTAAATTTCATTCTTGTGTCCTGGTGCATTGCTTAACTATGTCCTCAGGATTGCCATTCATTTTGGGCTTGTGAGTGATCATGCCCACGTGGCAGCCTACATCAACACACATCCTTATTGTTTCAGGCTCCTTTTAAAGGGCAACTCATTCAAAACTCTATTTGGCCATAGCAATTATTACTACTCATGCAAGCTGTTCTGATTGCATATCTCATACTAACCTTTTTGTTTAAGCCTGCCTGCAAGTCTTTCCCTGAATTCTGCCTGTGACACTACGTGTTATGTTTTGGCTGACAAATGCTATTTAGATTTACCATTACTGACTCCTTGTGCAACCTTCAATACTGTTGTGTCTTATCACCAAACACTGTCTATATCTGGTGGGATGTAAGTCCTGCTTGCACAGCAGCTCTTTAAATTTTTTTAAATATTTGACATTATTCTTTTCCCTCTGGTCTTGTCCTTGAACTGTTCTGATACCCGTTTTTCTTGTTATGGCCAACAAGTTATAGAAGTATCCACAATCTGCAATGTAAATTGCTAAGGGCACCCATGGAACAAATTAGAAAGTCGGATAAAAGAGTACAGAATTTTGCAGTTATCATAACCCAGCCTATTTGCCTGCACTTTACAAAAACCTCTGCCAAATCTTCTGAGATTCTGCAGTCCTAATACACCACATAAAATTACTCATGTTTATCACTAATCGGAATAATTTTTTTGTCCGAAAATTGCCTGTGGGGGTGGGGGCTAGCCCCCCCTTATGTAATACAACTTAATATTTCTGTTTTTGTGTGAAGTATCTGTGCAATTATGCGAGATCCAAAGTTAAAACCACTTGATCTTACCTTATCTAACGAAGATCTATTAGCCTGAATGATTTTTTTTTACAGAAAACGGAATGTGGGGGCTAGCCCCCCTTATGTAACACCAAATAATATACATATTTTCTCTGTAATCATGTGAGATCTAAGGTCAAACCGCTTGATCTTACCGGATCTAACAAAGATCTATTAGCCTGAATGTTTTTTGGCCAGAAAATGTAATATGGGGGGGCTAGCCCCCCCCCCCCCTCATTAATCACGTAATAGGTCTGTAATTATGTGAGATCTAACAAAACAATTAGTTGATCATACCGGATGGAACAAATAGCTTCCAAATTAGCTGTTTGTTCAATTTTCTTATAGTGGGGGGCTGATGATGGGTTAGCCCCCCACTAAAAATAACTGTTAATATCTCTTTTTCTATGTCAGATCTAATGCAAACAACAACTGATGATGATCTAACCAACTGCACAAATTTTGATTTTTGATAACCCGGCTGAGGTATATGAGATTCCCACAGAGGCAGAACTTCTTTAGATGATACCAAATGTGTATGTGTTTATTCTTTTTTATTAAAACAAAGAAATGTGTATTGTTTTAGCACTTTTTAAGAAGAGTTCATTTCCGAGATCCCACTGGCGGGGAAGCCTATTTTAATGAAAGAGGAGAGATATCCCAACTATATTACATGTACAGTTATGGAGTTCTTGTTGATGGGAAGTTTGCCAACAAGCACATTGGGACTTTCAATGTCTCCGCTGCTGAAGGTAGAAAGCTTGATATTTTTGAAGATGACATATTCTGGAAACATGGCGAGGTCAGTGCCTTTATAACAGCAATGAGACACTACAGAATATACACTGAGTGGCCAGATTGTTATGACCACCTGACGTTTGTAGGCAAATTAGCTATAATTTTGCGCTGAAGTTGCTAGAGGGCCAGACCATTATAAATAGGGAAGCAGGTTGTTTACCACGACAGTAGAAGTGATTTGTTTCTGAAGATTCGGGGAAACAACGCGATTTAACAGCCTTTGAACGTGGGATGATTGTTGGCGCTCGGAGCCATGGAGCGAGTATCAGCAAAACAGCAGAATTTGTTAAATGTTCAAGAGCAGCTGTTGTTAAAGTGTTTAAAGACTGGACTGTCAGCCGAAAATCTGGGTCTGAACGTGCGAATTGTGGCCATCAGCGACTAGTCAATGTTAGGGCAGAACGGAGAGTGGCAAGACTGGTACAAGACAACAGAAGGGCAACAGTGCAGTGTCAGATTCCTCGCATCACCTTTTAACATCTCATGGAGTCACGAGGCGGCCCACCGAAGTCATCTCGTGGCCCAATGAAGTACTGATGGGGTGGTCATAATAATCTGGCCAGTCAGTGTACTTGTCCCTCAAAATGGAGACCAACCCTTCCGTAAACTATTCTGACATGATGTAGAGTTCTGTGATGGACCTGAAATCTCCTGAGACAATGTCATGTCAAAATGTAATGTTGTGTCCTAAAGTGGTAGTACATTCTAACTCTCAAAGGGTTTGATTTACCAAAGTGTCCAATAAGGTGTAGGGAATCTATGCTCTATTATGTACAACAAAATTAAAAAGATCAAGTCTAGAGTAGGATCAGCCGTCAGGACAATAAATTAAGTAAAAGGCAATAATGTTACTGATATTCCAAGGTATAGCACAAAGACTTGAACATTGGTAGTAGGCATGGGATTAGTACTCCAGTCCATTAAAGTGACGCTAAGCTCAGGAGTTATATCTTAAAAATACATTCAAGTACCCTATTAACAAAAATGTATCTTATTTGTGTATCATTCGGCTGTAGATCCTCAAATCATCTCTGAATTGGTGCTGACACCGTCCTTCCTTCTGGAGGGGGGCTACTTTTGTTCCCCATGGTCCCTGTGTGTATTGTAAAGTAGTCACTGCTCCAGAAGGAAGGACAGTGTCAGTTCCAATTGAAGATCTACAGCCGAGTGATACGCAAATAAGAGACATTTTTGCTAAAAGCGGACCTTTACCAATATCTTCAAAATAATATCAAACACACCTTTAGTAATGTTTAGTAATGACAATCTACAAACAGATATTTATATATAATTGCTGGCTTTTTATTCTTTGTATACCTTATTTTTCTTTTCCTCTTCATTCATCTGACAGTGGCCATTTTTTACTAAGGGAAGATAAATCCATCTCCCTCTATTAGCTGGAACTCTGTCACATGTGATTAGGGCATGTGACCATGCACATCACCTCAGGGGAGGAAAATGCCTTTCTCTGAGATCTCCTGAGATTACAGATGAGATTTCCCAGCAATGCTCTGCTGATGTAACCTTCCCAGGATGCAATGCTTGGGCACGATTACATAATTTGTGCCAAAGTAGACCAGGAAGTGGAAAAAATAAATAAGTAAAGGTAAAAGCAGAATATGTTTGTTTAGCTAATGAAAGTAAAATTATTTCATATCAGCATGGTGATGTGATTATTAGTCAAAGGGGGCAAAGGTCTGCTTTAATAGTTAGGGTAGTGGAATGCATTTTTAAGATTTAAAGGAGAACTATGAGGTGAGTGATTTCCACTCATCCTCATAGTTAGAGCCGACCTGTGACAAAGAAACTGTCACAGGTCGGCTCTATCGATCGGCAAGTGAGCAGAATCCACATGCAGCTGATCCACTCCAGGAATGAAAGGGGGAGGAGGCGGGCACAGATGGCTCTGCCTCTAGATAGACAGAGCCAGCTGTCACTCACGCAGCTGGGTGGATCTCCACAGTATTGTCAGGATCCGTCCCGGCTGCGGCGATCTCAGTATATCACGTGCAATAGCCCACTATATACTAAGCTTTGGGTCACGGGAGGAGGTTAGTATATGTCCTCCCATGACACTAAAGAGAACTATGGGGAAAACACTTACTCCATAGTTCTCTTTTAACTCCCAAGTATAGGGGGACTTTAAGCTAAATCCCATTTCTCTGTGTTTTTTGCTTCATGCATGATTGTTACACTAAGAACTAGATAAACACTTGGTATTGTCTTCAATATATTGTGGCTGTAAGATGACAAATGACTTTCCAAAGTTATTTTGAAGTTCTTGTAATGTTTTGGTTTTACATCTAGATTCCTATATCTACATGTTCTGAACACTGCCCACCAGGTTATAGAAGCATTATGAAGAGGGGAATCCATCGGTGCTGCTTTGAATGTCTGCAGTGTTCAGAGGGAGAAATATCTAATGAAACAGGTAAAATTTCCTTCTATGCTACAGTGCATGTTATCTTGAAGACCATTTCACTTGATGGGCCTACCTGAGATGCTGCATTGGCAAAAGTAGTTTCTTGCCTCGATAAGCCACAGAGATGGTAAATCTGAATTGTACTCACCAAACCTTACGCAGTTCCCCCAATGATCTCTTTTGACTTTTTCATTTTTGCTATAACTCAATGTGTTTTGTTAGTGAGACATTCAGGTTTTTTTTATTTTGGTCAGTTTGGGGTATTTAAATATTTTTCCCCCACTTCCGTGCAATTGCCAGTGGTAGGAAGTAGGGATACACCAATGCCTGTTTTTCGGTATCGAGTACGAGTACCCATATTTTTTTTTCGATACTTGCCAATAGCGAATACTGATACCGGAAGACTCTGGTATTAAGGAACACGGGCTGTGTGTAATGATTTGCCGCCCAGCTTCCTGATTAGCTGGCTCCATGCTCCCTCATCACCAAGTGACAAGAAAGCATGGAGCCGGCTTTCTGGCCAATCAGGAAGCCGGGCAGCGAGTCATTACACGCCGTCTGGCTTCCTGATTGGCCGGGAAGCCTGGTGACGAGAGAGCATGGAGCCAGCTTCCTGGCCAATCAGGAGGCCGGGCAGTGTGCAATGACTCGCCACCCGACTTCCTGATACCAAAAGTTCCGGTATCGGGATAAGTATCAGGAGTATTTGGCCGAGTACGAGTACTCGGCCAAATACTTGGTTTCGGCACTGGTACCGATACCAGTATCGGTATCAGTGAATCCCTAGTAGGAAGGCTTCACTAGGGTACAATGGATCAGTTAGTGCTGAGTGATGGAGCTCTATGGTATCAACATGTTTTTGTTTTTTTTAACCATTTAATAGAGATAGGGGGACTGATAATGGGAGACCTTGTCCATGGACAGGAAAAAAATAATAGTATAGTGGATGACTTTATTCTAAGATATTTTCCTGACCTAAGCCACCATATTATTTTGTTTTTCACTTTCGCTATGTCTTAAGTGAATACATGATGAGTTTCCTTTAGCACAAAAGCAAACATAAAAGATGGCCTTTCCTGACTTTCTAGCCAAAGCATTGCTTCCTATGGGCACTGGAGGATGCTCACAGTTGACATGCTTTCAGAGAGGGGAGATATGTATAAGTGTGTTGGGACTCAGTCTGTGTGCACTCAGTGATACATGCAGTAGATTACGCTCAAGAAGGGAAAAGGAATAGAGGAAGGTGAGGCTCACAGGACTAAACAGCAGGGAGGTGGAGAATCTGCAGAAAGTCACTATTGTCAGTGTCCATAGAATGCATCAGAAACTGCTGGGAACGTGCATCTGATATATCATTCTCAGGGAGGAACCAGGTGGCCATCATGAGGGCCTAGAGCAGATGACAGATGAGTTAGAAAATAAATTATTTGATTTTTCATTTTCAGACAAAGGATCATGCCATACATGTCCAGAAGACCAGTGGCCAAATGACAACAAATGCGCACCAAAACCTGTGGAATATCTGGCTTTTGGAAATGATACAGTAGTTCATCTGATTTCCATTATCTCAGTCATATTATTTCTTAAAAGTTCCACTATTTTGGGAATCTTTATTGTATTTCGGGACACTCCACTTGTCAAAGCAAATAACCAATATCTGAGCTTCATACTTCTGGTTTGCATTATGTTGGGTTTCCTCTGTGTGTTTTTGTTTTTGGGCCGCCCAGTACACACAACATGTATGCTGCGTCAGACATCATTTGCAATCATCTTCTCGGTTGCTATCTCCTCTATTTTGGCCAAGACTATCATGGTCTACTCAGCCTTCAAAGCCACCAAACCCGGAAGTCCCTGGAGGAAATTTATTGGAGTAAAAATCACTAACTGTGTGCTTCTGCTTTGCTCTTTCATTCAGGTTTTAATTAGTATCACTTGGTTATCTATTTCTCCTCCGTACCCAGAAAGTAACACTAATTTGTATGTTGACAAAATTATTATTCAGTGTAATGAAGGATCTCCGGTGGCATTTTCCATCCTCCTGGGTTACATGGGACTTCTAGCAGCTGTGACTTTCATTGTGGCTTTCCTGGCCAGAAATTTACCAGATAGTTTCAATGAAGCCAAATACATCACCTTCAGCATGCTGGTGTTCTGCAGCGTCTGGATCGCTTTTATCCCGGCTTATATGAGTGTTACAGGAAAGAACACTGTGCTTGTAGAGATATTTGCTATACTGTCTTCTACTGTCGGCATTTTGGGTTGTATATTTTTACCAAAATGTTATATTATATTGGTGAGACCAGATTTAAACTCAAAAAGTCACTTACTAAAACAAGCACACAATACACTGCGCAATAACATACAATGTAAAGCAACATAATTTATGTAAGCATATATATATTTTTTGTAGTCTATTAAATGACTTTTGAAATATCTCCCTATAAATAAAAGATGGTGAGATAGAGCTTATTGTTCTGAAGCTCATAAATCCAAATAGCTCTTCCAATTTTTTTAATGGAAAACATTGACCATTATTCCAGTGACGTGCGGTACCTTCGCTTCTTGGTAAAGCATTCCCTAGCCTCGCCCCTAGCATGCCCAGCCCGGCCCCCAGCACGCCTAAGCCCTGCCCATATCCCGACGAAGCCCTGCCCCCATCCCGCATAAGCCCCGGGTAGTGTGAAAGAGGGAGGGAGGAGGAAGGGAGTTCACAGGGAGGAGCCTCCCTGTCCCTCACTTGCTCGTCGCTGCTGAGGCATTGAGATCCTGGCCTCAGTGTTTTTTGTTTTATTTATTTTCTTGATTGGACAGCTTGGACCAATGGTGCTTTGCTATTGGTCCAAACCATCCACAGAGCTCACGCCTCTAACACAGAGTAGAGGCTGTGACAGCTCTTGCCTCACTAGGGTACACAAGCAGTGGGGAAGCCCGCTGCTGTGTAACCTAACTACCCGTCAAAAGCCAGATACAGCACTGCCTGTAATTAACAGGCAGCTCTCAGCCCATGACAGGTTACACAGTGGGGAGGATTTCCATGCTGTGTAACTTGTTACAAGCCGATCTGAATGGAGAAAAATCTGTCAGCTTCAGACTTGAAGGTGACAGTTTTGTCCTCCATAATACTAGGTGAGGCTCTGCCCCTCCTGCCTCCCCTGACCGCACATCCCTGCATTATTCACTAAAGAATGTTCACTGTGGAAGTTCACTATTCACCCCGCAAAGTAAATTGGCACTTAGCTTAGCGAATGAAGTGCATTTGGTTTCTCTTGTACCTTTTATATTCTTGATGTACTGACCCTGATTTTCTAAAGGAATTAAGCGTGTTCACTTTGCAAACTTCACCTCATTTACTAAGCTTCATAAAACTTCCCTTTGCAAGGAGAACCTTCACTTTGCAAATAGAAAAATCACATAGCTTAGTGAATGAGGTGACGCTGTGCTGACTTAAATCGAACAATCATGTGGAAGCAAATAAAAATAAAGTTTTTTTTACATTTTCCTTGCGCATAACTGGGTGTTCTTTGCAAAGCACATTTTTAACACATTTACTGGGCTAAGTGGGAATTGCCTTGCAAAGTGAACATTCTTAATCCCTTAAGGGTTCTTCCACACGTGCGTTGAGAATTTAATGAAAGAGCAACACTGATTAACGCACCTATAGTGTTAACAAGGCATTTTCAAGGCATTAGGGAGGCGTCAAAAACGCTTGCAAAATGCCCTGCATGTAGGGGAGTGGGTTAAAAAGTGATGTAGTAAAGGGAAGTGACCAGCAGTGGCCACACTTCTATTTTTTTGAAGAAGTCGCAGTAGCTGGGCAGACGTGGGTCATACAATTCTGGGTGTTGCTCAACTGCTTGAATTAGCTGTGCAACATTTATTTCATGACTGGTTCTGGCTGATACTTGCAATGGCTGTCCAATGGTATGGCTGGCACTGCTAAGCTGCCACTGTTATGGCTGGCACTGCTCTGGATGACACTGATAACAGCTGGCATTACAGGATGGCATTGGTCAGGCTTTCACAGTTTGCAAGTACCTGGCTAAAAGCTGTCCTCTTGCTGCCAAAACGCTGGCTGTGTGCAGACAGGAAGTGGCATCTGCACCTGCTCTGTCCACTCACTCTATGATTCCCCAGTGGTTTCTGGGATTGCAGAACCTCCTATGCCTCTCCTAAAACACTTGTGCAATGGTTCTTAAATGCCCACAAAATGCTTAAGGAGTATTGACCGAGCATTTGAGGGGCGTTTCAATATACTTAATTCCAGCAGGAATGCCTCCAGAACGCGACCTGCACTCTATTTTTGAACACACATCAACAGAACACAACACTAACGCCCAAGTGTGAACCACACTGGGCGGTTGCTATTGTATTATCCCACATGGGCCTTAGTAGGCGGCAAAGAGGTGTTAAAAATGCTTCTCTAATACCTGATTTTAACACACGTGTGAAAGAGGCCTTAGTGAATCAGGGTCAGTATATTAAGAACATAAAAGGGAAATGAGAAACAAAATTTGTACACTTACAGACTAGGCAATTTTGCCGTTCATGTGGATTTAAACAGGGGGATTCTTCTGTGCTGAGATGGTTTATAAGGGGACCAAATAATTATTATAGAGATAATTATTATAGAGAGTGATTTTTGCTATATTAATAAATGTAAATTTTGATGTAATCAGAACTTACATCACATCAGGCCCATGTATAGATGTATATATACACTCACTGGACGCTTTATTAGGTACACCTCTTCAACTGTTCGTTAACACATATATCTAATCAGCCAATCACATGGCAGTAACTCAATACATTTAGGAATGTAGACATGGTCAAGATGGTCTGCTGAAGTTCAAACCAAGCATCAGAATGGGGAAGAAAGGGGATTTAAGTGACTTTGAACACGGCATGGTTGTTGATGTCAGAGGTCAGAGGAGAATGGGCAGACTGGTTCAAGCTGATAGAAAGGCAGCAGTAACTCAAATAACCCCTCGTTACATCCGAGGTATGCAGAATACCGTCTCTGAACACACAACATATTGAACCTTGAAGCAGATGGGCTACAGCCACAGAAGACCACACCGGGTGCCACTTCTGTCAGCTAAGAACAGGAAACGGAGGTTACAGTTTGCAACGGCTCATCAAAATTGGAAAAACTTTGTCTGGTCTGATGAGTCTACATTTCTGTTGCGACATTCAGATGGTCGGGTCAGAATTTGTGTATTATTTTACAGTACATGCAAGATCGAGTTTTTCAAACTCTCCGGTGTTATGTATGGAGTAAGTACAATAAATAAAGTGTATGTAAGCTCTAACAATTCATTTCTGTTATTTGCTGCTTTTTGATCTGTCAAATATTTTGTTATATCTGACAAAACAATACCTGTTGATCCTGCCAAAGATCCAATTATCTGAAATGGTATACTGTATTTGCCAGCGTATAAGACGACTCGGCGTATAAGACGACCCACAAAATAATGTTTAAATGCACCCACTAACATCCATGGCGGTATTCCGGAGTGTGGCTTGGGGTTAATTTTCAGTACCATAAGCGGTAACCCCGAGCCACACTCGGGATTACAGTCTCTTACTTTGTCCACGATCCCCGCTGTGTGCTCTGTCTTCCGCTGAGCCAATCACGGCAGGCTTTGTATTAATGAATACAGGCTTTGTATTCATTAATACAAAGCCTGCCGTGATTGGCTCAGCGCGGTATACTTTATGTAGCCGAAGCTACATACAGTATACCGTACCCTTCCGTATACCGTACCCTTTCCTTCCGCAAGCAAAAATCCATTTTTTTGTACATTTTCCTTGCACATAATTGGGTATTTAGTTTTTCAAAGTGAATTTGTAACATATGTACTTGGGTATTCTTGCAAAGTGAGCATGTCTAATTCCTTTAGTTAATCAGGGTCAGTATATCAGGACATAAGGCTCCATTCACGCCTAGGCGACATCTACTATGCGCATTATAAACACGTTTTTCTTTTAGTGTTTTTGCGTGTTTTTTCCAGTGTGTTTTTGCATGCGTATATCAAGTTGCATGTTTTTATGAGCAGATTGTGGCACATTCATGTGAATGGGCAAAAGCACAAAAATAATCGCAACGTGCGTTTTCAAGCGTTTTCTATTGAGTATATGGTGTACAAAACGCCCTGAAATCTGCCCAAAAGTAGCTCATGTACTATTTCGAGCAACAGACGTATTTCTGCTTGCGACAAAACTCAAAGGTGTGAACGGGAGCCATAGAAATTAATGGGATTCCTTGGGTGGAGTGTTTTGTTGCAGTTAGCGAAGGGCACCAATACGCCTAGGTGGGGACAGAGCCTTTGGTTTTAAAGGAAATGGGTGGGTTCATGTAAGTCTGACTTTTTTGCTGCTGGTGCATTACATAGGCCAAAGGTTGTCAAAATATATTGAAACCATTGGATCAGCAAAATCCTTTGCCCCAAATGGTGGATGTCTTTTTCTTGGACATTTTAATGCAGTGAATGAGGACACCAAGCTCTGAATAGGCCCTCAAGCAGCTAGCATTTTCAGGAGTAGAGGACTGCCTCTATATTTTGTTAACACAGGTTTCTTCAAAAATAATTTAACATTTGACGTATGCTACTGTATGCTGCCCTCTATCAAGCACCAGTGGTAAGACCCAAAACCAGCCCAAAAAGTGTTTATGAGACAATAAAGGATTAGTTCGTAATGGTCTTTTTTTATACTTCTGGGTCCCCTTTGTGTAGCTTCCCCCTCGTTTCCTGTAAGGACAAGAAGTCCATCACAAACAATTTAGCGTCCTAAGGAAGTCAGGAACGCAGAACAAATCCATGTAATCACACTTCATCTTATGGGTAGACAAAACAATGTGTTTCTTTTCGGATTTTTCGCTCTTTTAGGTTTCGGGTCCGAACGCCATTTCGTTATTCAGTTTCAGATCTTTTGGAATTTCATTTTAGTTTTGGACGGGGTTTTCTGATTGGCCAGAAAACAGTAACATGTCCGATTTAGTTTCATTTTGAACAAAATTTGAATGGTTTGAAATTCCGTTAAAAGAACTTTGGGCTTATTTTGTATTCAGCCTCATTGGAATTTGGACATTCGGATGCAGCCAAATGTCCAAATTCATGAAATTTTGTCCAAATTTGCATTTGGAACAAAATTAAATTTGCATGTCTACTTATGGGGGCTTTTTTATTCAACTTTTTTTAACCTATGCACGTTTTTCTTTCCTTTCTGTGTATATTACGGGTGTTTGAGTATACTGATTGTGATCGCTACATTATCGAAGGAGGCATTGTTCTTTACTGGTCATGGGGTGAATTTCAAATAAAGAGGAGAAGCCTTACAGGTATTTGGTTTTTGGCCTCTTTATTTAATTGCAAGGTAGAAAGTGAGCCACCAGCACACCACAATTCTTATCATAAAAATGCCTTTATTGAAGTTAAGCAATCAAGGTATCACAGAAGTGACGCTTCGAAACCACCCAGGGTCCCCTCATCATACAATGTGAAATCAGTGATTCCTTCATCAGTCAAACATAGGGACTATGTTTAAAAGGTTATTAAAATTCTGCGCTTTGGAATATTCCTCAACAAACTATCGATAGGAAGCTGCTGCGCTATAGACAACCTGGTCCAGTTATAAATATAAATAAATGTACAACACTAGGGGCCCAGTGGACAGCTAATTAAATGGATCTATTCTAAAGGTGATTAGTTAATAAATAACAGCCAATATTGTATAAATAAATAAATTAATTAATTAAATTCAAACCTAATTGCCAATCCATTAATAGCACTTCCCAGATTTCACCCAAGGTGATCTGAGTCCACACCTCCCTAATTGTTCAATTAGAAACCGTTTACAATATAAATACTGTGATGGAGTGTGTTTAGAAAGGACTCAGATATATATAATTAATAAATATTTATTTCGATTCTTATTTTTCTAAAAATCATGCGGTTCAATAAAAACATCCAATTCACTTGAAGTAGTGCTTATGTGTGTCTCAAACTGTCAGTTCTCTATCCCTAAGACGGCATTTTTTTTTCTGCGCGCGCCCCCTGCCACGCGCACGGGCAGAAAAAAAACACCCGATGTAAAGAGCCGTTACCGGCTGTTTCACATACACACGATTGGCGGCTCTATAGCCTGCCGATCGTGTGTATGTGCTGGCTGCTTGACCCCCTCCCCCCTCGAGTGCCGCCGCCGCCGACCCCCGCCCTCCTGACCCCTCACCTTCAATCCCGTGATCCGCTGCTCAATCTGCGCCCCTGGACCGGCGCGGGAGGGTGTCAGGAGGTAAGATGGGAGGGAGTTCAGCATCTTCCTCCTTGCTGATCTCCTTCCGTGCTGTGAATGCGGAAGTAATGTGTAAATACATAACTGCTATTGCCAGAGATCACATACTGTATATTGGATGTATAATTCATTTTTTTAACTTGTATATTTAGCTTGACTTAAACAGAGCAGCAGCCCCTAAATCTTACTCATTTCAAAATTTTTCTGGTAGTTTTGGCTGCAACACCTGATTTTTTTTTTTATCCAGCAAAAACAGGGCTGAATTGAAAGGTGGAAATAACAGCCATAACAAATCTAAAAGCAACCGGAAAGTTTTCTCTTAAAAAAAGAAACTGCCTTCAGCTTCTGACTTCTAAGCTATCTGTCAGGGACTAGAACACCTCCAGTTGGCACTGTGGTGCTGGAACCGGATCCTGCTGTTCCAGTGCTCACCTGCAGGTGGCTTCAGGCAGCGAGTAGCTGTCAGGTACCAGACCACCTCTGGGTGGCACTGTAGTGCTGAAACCTGCAGTTCTGGTGCTCACCTGCGGGTGTCTCCCAGCAATCAGCAATTAGTCACCCCCTGGTGCTGGTCTGGGAAGGTATTTAGCCCCTCCTCACAGTGAGACTTGTGCCTCAGTATTGTTCCCATATCCCTACCTGTATCCTGGTTCCTGTTCCAACCTCTGTTCCTACCTTGGGCCCTGACTCTGACCTGACTCTTACCCCTGAGGTCTCCTGATCTGTGTCTCCTGGCTCTCCCCGTGTTGCCCTGCTCCCCAGGTTATACCCAGCCCTGTTATCTCCAGTGTGTGATTTGTTATTTGTATATAGTTAGGCTCTTATATGATACTTGCAGGTGTTGGTGGGGTTGCTTGTGGTTGTGTTGTTTTTGGTGTATCTAATAAATTATAGTTCACAGGAATTGTTTTGGTATCTGAAGTGTGGTCGCATATTTGGTTCACCTGTATAGATGCCTGCACGCAGTGTTGGGACACCCGTACACAGTATCGTGACACTATCCAGTAGCAAAAATGTTTGATAGAATAGTTTATGAGCTTCTTTTACTGGCAGTACCGCACTGTGTTGTCTTAAATTTTCAATAGAATGTAAAAACAGAGTGCACAAAAACACTTCAAGACCAAAATCCACATTCCCCAAACACCCTCCAATCAATGTATCCCTAATTTCCCCCTCAATTTTAAAAATTTTAGACTTCAGGTATGTAGTTGATAGAAATTGGCTAGCATTGGGACAATAAGTGAGCACTTGACTATTCAACAAATAGAAAAATATAAGGTTGGTTTTATCTTGCAAACAAATGAAAGTATATTATAAAGAGACAATAGCCTCAAATATTGTACAGTGGCTGAAAAGTACAGCTCTTTCTGGCAGCAGGCATCATCTGAAATTTGGAACTGCAAAGATTCTTGTATTCAAGAGAGGAAATACATCATTGCTCCATCCAGCACTGAGCCTCCCACACCCGGACACAAGTGTGTGCAGGCTAGGAACTGTCCACTCTCCAACCCAGCAACTAATAGAAGAAAGCCGCACAACGCAGTCCACCAAGAACAAACTTTTAATCTAAAAGGCTAACATTTTCCAGCACAACAGGTGTTGGAATTCTAGGCAGGTAGTCTTGTTGTGCTGAAAATGTTTTGCCTTTTGGATTAACAAGTTTGTTTTTACTGGACTGTTGTATACGGCTTTCTTCCATTAGCTGCAATACAAGCTTTCTAAATATGGGTGAAACATGAAACATGGTATGAAACGTAAACTTGGTAATAAACAATGGAGAGTTAATTCATGAGAATCTGACCCAGGCAGTCCATTTTCTTTGTTTAATGATTTGTTTTATTCCTGCTTCCTATCTTGTTCTTTCTCAAATAACACCATGATTTAGAAAAAGTATTACATGAAGAAAAATAAATATATAATTTATTGTCTACAAAATAGCATCTGAGATCTAACAAAATCTTTATCTTGCTCTGCCACGTCTATATAAGACCATTGTACTGATTCAGACTCCAGACATAGTGTGCACTGTGTGCACTCTGTGTGCACTCCGATTACAGAACTTTAATTCTCCATATAAAAGGATTGGGTAGGACAGTAACAAGGCTCAGTGATGAATGTCCATTGTGCACTTCTGCAAGTTACATTATGTCTATGTATGATATTACCATCAGACGGTGCAAAACTAAGTTCAGGACCTGGATGTTCTATTAACAAAAAAGAATATGTACACGACATCAGGTATTTCACTGAAGGGGACTTCATAATTGGTGGAATATTCGGTGTTTATCATCAAATAGCGAATATTAGAAATGTTTTAAACTCTCCGATGGCTTGTATGCTGTAAGTATTTTTATTTTTTATTAAAGTGCATCCGAAGGCAAAATGTTCCTTTTAGTTTTGGGTAGAGTGGGTAGGGTTAGACTTTCTTCCAAGTTTTTAATGCGGTCTGTGTCTCAGGCTGTCTCAGATTAACCCCTCCATTTGGTCTGGTTACAATTGACCAAATTTCACAGTTGTTACTAGAAGAAGATGTGACAGTTAATCATCCAGCGGTGACAACAAAGATAGGAATTCCCTTCACTTTGGTGTGATTTTTTTCTAATTTTCTGTGGTTTCACCAGGATAAGAATTCAAATGAAATTTCACCAGAATAGGCCAAAAATAACTTAAATGGTGTTTTAAGATTTTTACACTTTGTCCAAAACACAGCTGTGGGCTATTCATACACTTTAATACAACCTACACTGATGTCACCTAGGGTGGCCACCTGTCTGGGATTCACACAAAATTTGATTTGAATCCTGTACGTGCTGTGCTGTGTTTCCAGACAGCTGAAACCTAGACAGACAGACAGGGGTAACCATGGAGTCCTGGTCTTCCTGTTCATATGCAACTCCACTTTGTGCACAGTATGGAGGTAGATCTCCACTGTGACTGGGCTCTGATGGTAAGTACAGCATTCCCTCTTCCATGTGCAATGCTAAATGTATGCACTCAGAGCCAGGATTGTCGAGGGTGCAGGAGGATCCAGTGTGAGTGTTGTTTATTTTATGTCATATCGCCCCTAATGTCCCTCATGCCAAAAAACATGGATCTCAGCAATACATTTGTGATATTTAAACAGCAAAATCCCCCTAGCAAAAAAAAATCCCATAAATGGAGCTATCCAATGAGCAAGTAACCCAATAGTATGTAGTATATCAAAATATTTTAATGAAACATTGAGAAGGTATAAAGATAAATCCCCTGATACATAACATTTAAAAATCTTAAAAGAAAGACACGGCTTCCCTTGGATGGCCCAAGTGTAGGACAGGACAATCAGGGTTAATGTGCCAGCAGGATGACAGGCAGTCTCTGGTATGAGTGGATACACTGTATTGGAACAGTGGATATAGTTGTATCAAAATGTAACAGGATTACTCACTTCATTCATCTGTGGCCACAAAATGAAAGTCCATCTAAGATTTTGTAATAGATGTCAAGATGATATCTCAATGGAAAATATTCCTGTGATAAATTGTAATCCCAGTGGTTGTTTTAATAGATTTATTTAAAACATTTATTAAAACATTTATTAAAACAACCCTGATTGTCCTGTCCTACACTTGGGCCATCCAAGGGATGCCGTGTCTTTCTTTTAAGATTTTTAAATGTTATGTATCAGGTGATTTATCTTTATACCTTCTCAATGTTTAATTAAAATATTTTTGATGTACTACATACTATTGGGTTACTTGCTCATTGGATAGCTCCATCTATGGGATTTTTCTTTGCTAGGGGGATTGTGCTGTTTAAATACCATTTTTTGAAACCCAGGAGCTGAATCCATATAATTTGTTACTTATTGCGAGACTCCTTTTCCCCGTGACAGAGGTTTGGATACACGTTTTCTGCAAAGGATGTGTAAGCCGCACTGCCGCGCCAAGGCACCTCTTATAGTGCGGTCCTAACTCTAAACTATGAGAGTCTCCATCCTGGAGCACATGGGGGCAGAAGCTATCAAATTGGGTGCAGGCCTGTCAGGAGGACGCCCCACCTCCTTAAAGGTACAGAAACACACAAGGGATCCCGCACATCCCATTGGCAGCTGAGAAACCCCATGCGTCGCTGCACCAAATCGGTAAAGCAAAACAAACGACAAACGCACTCAACAATTTGTTACCAGTTATACAGTAAGGTGCACACGAAATGGGCTTTGAACAGTAGAACAGTAGAAAGGCCTCATGGCACACTCACAAACCAGCATGTAAAACAACTTGTCTCACCACTAAGGACAATGACAGAGGTTTGGATACACGTCTTCTGCAAAGGATGTGTAAGCCGCACTGCCGCGCCAAGGCACCTCTTATAGTGCGGTCCTAACTCTAACCTATGAGAGTCTCCATCCTGGAGCACATGGGGGCAGAAGATATCAAATTGGGTGCAGGCCTGTCAGGAGGACGCCCCACCTCCTTAAAGGTACAGAAACACACAAGGGATCCCGCACATCCCAACATGTGGACAGATCCTCTTCACCAGAATCCTTGGCTTCCTTGCAGCATGGCCGCACCTCACGGCAAGCTGCTTCGTCTGGATCGGGGGACTCCATAGCAGCGCTTGATCGTGCTACTCCTGTCTCCTCTCACAGTGGCAGCCCAGCGAAAACCAGGCCTCGCATGTCAGAGGAACGTGGCAACAACTCTGGGGTGAGCCAGCTTAATAACTCTTTAGATGAGAGTTAGAGCTGATAGAGTGCTGATAAGAACTATCATTGGTTTCCCAACGGCTAATCATCCAGTGTTAGACATGACCTTAAAGGGAATGCTGATTTCTCTGCGTAGTGCAATACACACCAATACGGTTTCTCTAGTTCAAGATCCCAGTCCTGCTGTTACCTCAATTGGTGGCAGACTGGACTATGTTAAAACAAAAATGGGCGAATTTGCATCCACCATCAATGAGTTTACAGATTCTCATGATCATCTTACCGTTGATTTGCAGTGGCTTAAATACAAATTGGCAGATTTAACCGATAGGTCCTGCTGCAACAATATTAAAATATGGGGCATACCTGAATCTGTCACTCAGCAGGAATTACACAGGTATGTTCACACATTAATGCGTGACAGACAGAATTCATAGTTTGCCGAAACCATCCTTCTTACCTGAGAGAACACCACACAATGTTATTCTGCGTACTCATTTTTTCCATATCAAGGAGCAACTGATGGCTAAGATATGCTCTACTCCTGTGTTACTGGATCCATATTTTAAACTGCAATTTTATCCAACTGTGTCGCAGCATACAGTGAACCAAAGGAAGAAGCTCACTCCAATTACTGGAGCGATTCAAAAGCATAATATCACCTATCACTGGGGCTATCCCACAAAGAGCCTACTTACCAATATAGGTTCATCTCATACTATCTCCTTGCTGGAGGAAAAAATTAAAGTGGCATTAAAAAATCCAATCATCTTCTTTCCAGTAGTTTTCAGCTGTCCCTCCAGTGCTGTTGCGGGTCCCTGATCCAGCGCTGACTCCTCTCTCTTAACTGGCACTTCCTGTCCCACAGAGTCTGTGCAGGTACACACTGCTGCATGTACTTACCTTGTGTTGCTCCTCGTCGCCTGGCCGAAGATCTGAACTACGCATGCACCCGCCCCAAGATCCTTTCGCGGCCTTGCGTTCTGAGAAAACACCACACTATGTTATTCTGCTTACTCATTTTTTCCAGATCAAAGACATTATTGTCGAGATCCACCCAGCTGCGTGATTGACAGCGGGCTCTGACTATCTAGAGGCAGAGCCAGCGTTACCCGCCCCCTCCCCCGTCCAATCGGACAGGGGAGGTGGGGAATTCCTGCAGGGAGCCGTGAGTGACAGTCACGGCTCTCTGCAGCGATAGATCGAGAAGTGAGCAAGCGACGGTATGTGTTCGTTTACTTACCGATCGTTTGAGCCGACCTGTGACAGTTTCATTGTCACAGTTCGGCTAGAACTATGAGGCTGAGTGATTTTCACTCACCTCATAGTTCTCCTTTAAAGATTATAACTGATATGCATTGTAGTATCTTTGTTTATATCCTCCATCTTGAACGATTGTTGCGCTGTAGAATTGTTTTTATTGACTTAGCTTGATACTTTTTTTCCTTGTTCCTGTGATCTCTGTATTCTATCTAATTGTTTAAACTTTAAGAAAAATGATTTGGAGTGTAGTATTTTGTAAGCAGGAGTGCTTAATACATTTTCAGGGTTATTCACAAAAGGGTGAAGAGTTTGGAGAAGTCAGGAGAAGTGAACAATCTAGGACAACATAGCTGAACTGGAAAGTGAGCTGAATTGGAGAATTTTTCCAAATCCGCTATGTTGTCCTAGATTGTTCACTTCTCCTGACTTCTCCAAACTCTTCACCCTTTAGTGAATAACCCTGTTAGGATTGTCAGATTGTAATAAGTCTGATGCTGATTGTAGTCTATGCTCATTTGGTGTCCCCTAAGCAATCTGTTATCTTTTGCATCAGCCTGCTGCTGGGTGTACCCTGGCCACAGAGCAGAGCAACCTATAAGGGATTGTTATGAGTATATGTGGTGCATGCTGGGAGAGAACATAAATACTTGGAGCAGACCATGTGAGGTGCTTTTCCTCCCCTGGGCTTCATCCTTCGGACAGTTTATGTGGACTGACTGATTGGTTAGGCCTGAAGCCTAGGGACTAGCCGTGTGCTTGCACTGAGGCCTGAGTCTGGGGGCCCAGTGGCTAAAGGTGCCCATACACTGCACGATTCTCGTACGAGAATCACGGGAAATCCCGCGATCGTACGAGAATCGTGCAGTGTGAATGAAGACGTGCGACCGTTTCTACTGTACGGTCGCACGTCTTTTGTCTAAGGAGCATGCTAGAAAACCAGCCGAAAATCGTACGATTTTCAGCTGGTTTTTAGCATGATCGTAAGACCAATGCCGCACGCACCGGTGTGCGCACGCGCCACTGCCCGTTCAGCATTGCGGTCATTGGAAGCCCGCCCCTCAGGGAGGCGGGCTTGCGATGATCGTAAGTAAAATCTGCCTGTCCAAGATGGGCAGATCGTACGTTTTTTTAATTACTTTACAACCATCGCAAGACTAAGGTATTGCGATGGTTGTAAAGTGTATGGCCACCTTTAGAGGTCCTAGTCTGTGAATGGCAGCAGTTACTGTGCTCTACTAATTAAAGGAGTCCACACCAGCCTGGATGATTCTGACTCTAACCTTCTCTTCCTGAAGTTCATCAATAAAGTTCCTCAGCGTCATACCTGCAGTCTGGACTTCCCTTTTATTGGTCACCATGGAGGGTGGTAAGTGCTATTGGGGCAGCCAAATACTAAAATCCTCTTGACAGGCTATGAATGACCCATTTATTCCAGCGGCTCCTTAGTGGGAGAGAGTTACAGGAGTAAAAAGATAATAACAAAAAATAAAAAAAGAGTAATCCCTTTTTAACCGTTCCGTCCATGGGAGTCTTATAGGAGCTGGGGGGCGTCCTGCCCCTCCCCCCCGCTCATGCGCGGCGCCCATCGCGCACACGAGTGGGGAAACTCTCAGCAATGTAAACAGCCAACAATGGCTGTTTACATTCAATCGATCGGGCGTCTCTAGAGAAACCTGATCACTTGTAGTAGCTGCATGTGTGAGCCCGTCCCCGCCGTCTCTGTCGCCACCGCTGCCGGTCCCGAGATCAGCTGTGCTCGAAGATCTCTGCTTCATCAGCTTCTCTGGGGGTCCCTAGGTGACAATAGGGTTCTTGGAGACCTCAGGTGTCTCCATAAAGAGGACCTGTCATGTTAATTTTGCTATCACTTAGGGGATTTCTTAGTCCCCTATTTGATAGCAATAAAGTTAAGTGTAAAAAAATAAAAAGAATTATAGCATAAAAAAAATAAAGAAGCAAAAAAAAAAATAGTCACAAATAAAAAAAATGTAAAATAACAAAAATTTTTTTTTAAAGTGCCCTGCCACCCTCATACACGTGCAAACATGCGTCGGATGCGCCAACGTGTGAAAACAACGATTGCGCCTATTGCGCCGCACATGTTACATATCGCTGCAAACATCCGAGTGAGAGCAATCATTTTAGGGCAATCACTGATAACACTAAACTGGTGAGCAGTAAAAGCTTTTAAAGCGTCGCCTATGGCCAATTTGGGTGTGGTCGTTTTCTGCGATTTCGCGGGCGCACACAATTTTAAAGCTTGACATTTTTGGTGTCTATTTACCCGACATGACCCCGTTTCTTATATTTTACAAAAAAATTAGGGTGATAATAAATGTGTCATAACATTTCATAGGGAAACTGGTTTTTATTTTTCAAAAATTTACTTTTTTTGTTATATAGTAAAAAATAAAACCCGCAGTGGTGATTAAATAACACCAAAAGAAAGCTCTATGTGTTCCTATAAAATGGTATAAAATTAATTTCAGTACAGCATTGCATGACGGAATAAACATCAGTCAAAGTACCGCAGCGCTGAGTACTGAAAAATTGCCTGGACAGGAAGGGGGTTTAACACCGCGGACTTCAAGTGGTTAAACAATTGTAGTAGTTTCTGAAAATCATAAATATTTTATTTTATGGAACTCCTATAGTAATATAATACAACATATAATCCAATGACTTCTGGTATGTACCCTTTGACTTATATGTTAAATACGTAATTATAAATTATTTACATTTCAATTCTAGAGCAAGCTTTTAGAATAAAGGACCTAATTAGTTGTCTGGAGTTTATATACTTATTCACTTCCTATTGATAGAAGCATGAAGAGTATCAGCTTTGATCACAATTTTAGCATGTCTTCTTGGAGCCCTTGAAGCACCCTTTAGCTCCAATCTGGAGGTGTTAAATACAGATGTTAATAGAATGCTAGAGAAAGCATGAAAGATACGCTGCCACCTTCTAGTCAAAGGCCCCCTCCTCCAACTAACTTATACTCACCTTACTAGTACTCCCAGAGCCTTTTTCTCCTCCACAGCTGCCCATTATACCTGGTGTAACCAAGTATGGAGGAACATGTGATCTTCTCCTCTGTGACAATGCCATCCAGGCAATCACTGCTAGACCATCCATATTCTGAGCACTGTCACAGCTTTCTTAGGTCATCAACATCAGAAATTTTGGTGCCACTCTGGCAGAGGAAGGAGTGGCTATGGAACACTGGTAAGGTGAGTAAATAGGGGGACAGGTCCCTCGTGAAGAAATCCTTACCCTCACCCTGAATGGGCAAAGTGGTAGTATATCTTTAAACAAGTTTTGGCAGGGTTTCAATTGTTCAATTGGTCTTCAAGAAAGCTAATAGAAGCTTGGTCAATACTTTGTAAAATCCTGCTGAATGTGCTGCTTTTTGGTGCTTTTCGCATTATTATTTGCAACCTAAAATTAAAAATTACCCTTCTATTAAGGGCCTAAACGCATTAAAAAAATTACACAGAAAGAAGATTCAAGATGCCCTTTTCATCCTTTTTCTCTTCATAGACCTGTACCTCGTTACTACAGATACTTCCTGGCTTTTACGTTTGCCATTGATGAGATCAACAGTAATTCTGACATTTTACCTAATGTGACTCTGGGATACTTTGCAGGTGACTCTTGTAGAAATGTGAATAAAGCTTTAGATATTGTCCTGGGGATATTATCTGGAATGGGATCCACAGTTCCCAATTACTCCTGCCATGATCATGGCAAGCTTGTTGGTGTTGTTGGAGGCC